ATCAGTGCGTCCTCCCGGGGAGGCTCCACCTGCTCGAAACAGGCGCCAAAAACAGCCAAGACCTACTCCACGGGGGGGGGGGGGGCCGAGGGCCCGCGCCGATCGGCAAAACAGTGAATAAGAAAACGACTACCAGGCTAAAGAGTGCCTGGGAAGCCGCTGTGCAACCGTGTTTCTGCAGTGGTGGTCCTGCCTTCCCATGCCGAGGTGCCGTCTGGCGTGCGCGGTGACCTCCTTGCTCCGATCACAAGCACGGGCACGCATCCCCGGGGGGGAGGACCAGGCCGAGGCAACGGCGGCCCTCCCCCTGGCGCTGTTCGCCCATCTGGGGCCTCGTGGAGGCGTCTCGTCGCCATGGCTGGATCCGCCTCGGAGAATGGGTCGGGGAGGGTAAAACGACGCGAAGATCGGGACAAAATCGGATCGGGATAGCTCGAAATCTCTGAGAATCGGCGGGTTTGGAGGATGTATTGGGCGCCGCGGCCGCTCCAGAGCGTTCCGGAACGCTCTGAGAGCGCTCCGGAACGCTCTGGAGCGATTTATCCCGATCCTAGCCCTGTTTTAGAGAGGTCCAGGGACCGATTCTGAGCGGACCTGGGCCGGGCGGAAGAGCCGCGGCGGTCTGAGCTGACCCTCCTCCGAGAATCCCTTGGGCAAGCTGCGAGGGGAGAGCGTGCTGTAGGACGCACGTGGGCGTGCTAGCACTACTAGTACTATGCTATGTCCTCCTCGAAAGCGCGCGTCCGACCCGCACATCTCGCACAACCATCCTGTAGTATAGCGTTTCCCGAGCGGCACGGCCAGAAAGCGCTCGCCACTGAGCATATACTGCAAGATTTCTCGGCGCGCGCGTCATCAATTTGGGGGCGGCGCACACATAACATCAGCATCTTTGGGTGACGCCGATGCCACGTCCCAGCGTCCCAAAACACCGACCCTATAACCGTGAGGGGTCTTTAATACACCCCAGCTTAATGATGGAAACTAGCTATTTTTGGCGCGGGCTTATTAACGGATTGGAACCGAAAGCGATACTGGGAAGATCATCCCCCCCCCACCGCGGCGGCCACTGCTGAGGTCTCCGCCACGTCCTCATCGTCGAGGGGAAGGGCGAGGAGGAGGGGGACGACTATTCCCAGCCGAGAGCTTGGGAGGGGGGCCTCAGCATTAGAAAGACCTCCTCCGGCCACATGAACCCACACCGACACCCATATGGGGGATCGGAAAGAGGAGGACTGGCTATGGGTATGGGTGCGGGTTGTCGGACCGCGGGGGGGAAGCTCCCGCTCGAGCGGGGACCCTCATCCAGACAACACGCACCCGGCGCCCCCTCCGTCCCCCCCCATGGGTATGTGGGCGCGCGTTCGCTTGTCACTACGGGCATGTCCCCCTACAGGCGGATTTGGTAGGAACAACAGAAGTTTGCCAGAACAAGTTCAAACATGTTATATATATATATACATATACCTATGTATAGAACACAAAAAAACAACAACACAAAAAAAAAAAAAAAAAAAAAAAAAAAAAAAAAAAAAAAAAAAAAAAAAAAAAAAAAAACAAAAAAAAACTCCCTATACGACTTTTGACTATATTTGAATATTCCTCCTGCAGAGGGACGGGCCCGACGTAAACCTAGGCCAGAAGAACATGTTTCAAGAACACGAGACCCTCCGTCGGCCAAAAACAAACACAACATCCAAGGGTACCCTCCCCAGGATGCACGAGAACATCCAAGACACACGAAGAACACGAGAGGGTACCCTCCCAGAACCGACCTCGATCTTCCCTGAGATCCGACGTTGGACAACGCCGTCGTATCGAAAAAGATCGAATCGGAATCGCGGCCCCAGCAGGCTGATCGAATCGACTCCAATTGGATCGTATGCGGCCCTGACAGGCTGGCAGCCTTGCTCGTTCGCGCACTGCCAGGGGCCGCACATAATCGCGCTGGAGCTCTCCTGGGCGTTCGATCGCAGGGCCTCGGTGGCGGTTTCGGGTGTCGTGATACCAGATCGGCCCGCACGGTGGGCTCGTGTCGCCACGACGTGCGCGTGGGTTTCTGACACCGCGTGGATCGTCCTGCCTTGAACGATCGGCGGTTTTTCGACCGCCAGATCGTTCCACGTCGGCCGATCCCGGGCCACCCCTGAGATCCGCCATCACAAACAAAAAAAACATCCTAAAAGAACGACTGAAGCCCTGGACACAACCTCTCTGCGGCATCTTCCCCGCCGCATCGACTCGCGAGGGTCCCGGAACCCGAAGCACTGCAGAAATCGCCCGCTGCGAAAAGATGCGGCGCCAGGATCTCGGGGACTGGCGTCAAAAATCGGGCATGTCCTCCTGCAGGCGGATTTGGGAAGCAAAATGAAAAAAAGTCAAAAAGGGCACTCAAAAGGTAGTCAGAAACACTCCGAAAACATCGCCCCCCTACTATTTGTGCACTACGTTTGGACACTCCTCCTCTGGAGGGACATGCCCGATTCGAGACTGGCGGCCCTCCACCATGGGGGGCCTCCGCGCTGAGGGGGCCGCGTCGGCACGGCGCGCGCCCGCCGCGACGAGAGGAGGCCGGGCCGCGCCTGCACCCGCTCGCCGTCCTCGTCGGACTGGCCCTCGTCGGAGGAGTCCTCGCCCTGCTGCTGGGAGAGGTAGAGCATCTCGTCGGACTCCTGCGGCGAAGATAACATCGGCGGTGGACAGACCTCCCTTTCAGTAAGCCTCCCTGTAGCGAAAACGGTCCAGGACCGAAACCGACGGACCTGGACCCGCAAGAATGACGGCCGCGACGCCCTCTCGCGCACCGAAAACGGCGAATTCGCTCATCGACGTGTCAGGGTAGGAGGTCGATCCACCCCCGAAAACCCGCCACGGCACCGACCTTGCAGGCGTGCTGCAGCGGATTTTCTGCGCGCCAATTGCTGCCCACGGAGCATCTCGTCGGATTCCTGCGACGAACGAGCACGCCACGGCACAGACCTTGCAGGCGCGCCGCAGCGGATTTCTGCGCGTCGATTTCTGCCCATGCAGACCCACGAAACGGCGAGCGAACAACGAAATGAACTTCGCGTGGATGGTTTGTAGTTTTAATTCCTGGTCCCAAACGAATTCGCACGAAATTCACTTCGAAATCCGGAACGAAATTCTCTGGGACAACCCGAGCCCATCCAATTGTTTTCCGAACGAAATCCGGTCTGCGATGTTGGCGCCATGAGACATGGGACGGGACGCACAAGGACATACTAGTACTATATGTCCTCCTCGGAGGCGTGAGTCCGACCCGAAGATCCAGCACACCCATCTTGAAGTATACCGTTTCCCGAGCGGCGTGGCCAGAAAGCGCCCACCACGGCGCATATACCACAAGATTTCTCGGTGCGCGCGTCGCCCCAGGGGGGCGACACACAGACACACACAGTATTAGTACGTTGGGGTGACGCCGAGAAGAACACACACCCTCACACCCATACATACCCATTGGGGGGTCGGAGGGAAGACTGCCTGTGGGCATGCGTGCGGATTGTTGGACCCCAGGGGGTGGGGGGCTCCCGCTCGAGCGGGGGGACCCCCCGTCCGACAACACGCACCCAGAGCCCCCTCGGTCCCCCATGTGGGCATGGGGCGTGTGCCCTGAGCGGTGGAGGAGCAGGGGGCGGGCAAGGTCAGACAAGAAGCGAGGCGCATCGCAATCGCGGCCATCGTGCTACCACAAGGAGCTCTGAGTCTGGAGGCGGCCAGAGGGTCCCAGCTGCGACCCGAAGCGAACAAATCACAGAAAAACGTATCCGCATCCACGCCCTCGCGGCCTGGACTCCAGGGCGCGATCCCGCGCAGGCGCGGTCGCACATAACCGTTCCGCGCGGGGCATCCGCGGAGAACGCCGCGCATCCTCGGCGTCGCGGCTCCGGCCCGCGCAGCCGCGGCTGCGGCCGTGTTCTTCGCCCACGGCACACGCTGCTTCGGTCACTCCGACGGCTGAGCGGTGGTTTTTTTGCCGCGTTCCCCCCGGAAGGCGATCGCCATTGCTGAGGTGCAACGATAGGAGGGGACGGGCATAGGGGGGGATGCATAAACCTGGAATCGGTGAAACATCGCCGATAGATCGGCGATAGGCCTCCGATAGTGCATCCGCACCTTCCTGGGCAGGTTGGAGCTATCGGTCCCCCATCGGCGATCAGTGGGCGATGGTGGGTCGATGCATCCCCCCCCCTCTATGCCTATCCCCCCCTATCGTTGCCCCCGAATTGCCCGCCTCACTCCATCAGAAATGGAGAGGGGAGGCGCTTGGCCCCCGGTGACGGCCTATCTGGAGTCGGTCGTCTCGCGGGCAGCACGTCTGCCAGCTGCCGGGCGCGACCCAGAGAGGGCACTGGCCACCGGAGCTCCCACAGACCACCAAAGCCGCCCACAGGAGCATCTGCCTTGCAGGAAAGAGCCCCCTCACGAAAAATCCGCCTGACAGCCCTGGCAAACATACCACCCGCTGCCCAGCCCCTCTGACCAGTCTGAACGCATCATCTGATTCATGGGATACGCAGGTGCCGACGGGAAAGCGAAGTTTTGGCCGGGCCGCTCGCTTTGGCCAAGCAGTAGTGCATCGCGTCTCCAGCACTCTGCGGGCAGGCTTGGCTCATGCGCGCAAGGCCGGTGCTCTGGAGGAGGGGAGTGCTACTGGATTGCCCTCCCTTCGCACACGATGGAGACTTCCTGAATGGGGCCCGGGCACTTGGGGTCGGAGGATCGCCCCGCATCGCCGATGCATCGGCGATACATCTGCGACCTCGGGATAAAGAGCATCGGGCTTCAGACCTCGCCGTATCGACGATGCCTCGGCGATGCGACGCGTTCCTCGACCACATCTGCTCTTGCCCTATGTGGGAGACCTGCACAGATAGGAGGGGAAAGAGGGGAAAGGAGGGGAAGGAGGCAAAAAGGGGGGTGGAGGCCCCCCCAGACCCTGGACCACCTGCTGGCCACACGCTCCACTCTCGGCAGGATCAGTCTGCATCGAATCGGCAAGCCAGATCGGGTCGAAATGTGCGTCGGATCGGGCCGCATCGGCACGGAGGCTCGAAATCCAATCGGATCGGGCGCGACGGGATGCGCAACAGCGCCCATGCAAGCGTCAGGGCCGCCGCATCGGATCGTCGGAATGCCCAGACATTCGACGTCGTGATGCTTGTCACAACGTGGCTTCCCGGAGGTCTGTAGAGGAAAAAGAACTATGCACATGCACCGATTCTGGCCAGGCCCATCCTGAGCCCAGGAGCGGTGCATACGCCCTCCTACCTTGGCCAGGAAGGCATATGCACCGATCCTGGGTCAAGGATGGGCCTTGCCAGGATCGGTGCATGTGCATAGTTCTCTTCGCCCGAGTCTGGACCCCTTCCCCAGAACCGGCTCCTCATCCTGGGTCGCTCTTGTTGTCGGGCCTGGGGCTCGGCGAGGGCCCTCGGAGGCCGAAGTTTCGCAAAGAAACAGCCGCCATGACTTTTCCCCGTGCACACCGAGAGGACGTCAAGACGTCGGGACCGCCTCGGATCGGACCGGCCAGAATCGATATCGACTCGCATCGATCGGATATCTAGAGGCCTCCCCAAGTGGGGTCCGAGTGGATGGGGCCGGAGGATTGCGCCGCATCGGCAGTGCATCGGCGGTGTGGGCGATGCCCCGGCGACGTCGGCGTGGAGAAAACCGGGCTCCACATCGAGCCGCATCGCCGATGCATCGGCGACGCGGCGCGATCCTCCGACCCCATCGACTCGGACCCCGTCTGGGAGGCCTCGAGCATCGTCGACCCCCAGAGGTCTCGACCCATTCCCCGGGAACAGCTGCACATCCCGAGTCGCTTTGTTGACAGTCCCGAGGCCCGTGGAGGGCCCCCAGAATCCCGAAGACTATCAAAAACCTCCCGTCGTGATTTTTTCATGACCCCAGGGGGTCTGGGCGTAGCGGTATCGCCACCTTTTCCCTCCTCCGCCGCGCTGCTCCTCCGACTCCGGCTCGGAGCACGACGGGGATGAGATGAGTCGTCTGACAGAGAGGACAGCGACGACGGAGATCGTCGGCGCCGCCGCTAGGACGGGCCGCCGGGGGGGATCGCCCCCCGGGCAGCGACGGCGGCGGCGTCTTCTCGGACGGGGTGCCAAAAACGGCTGCGCATTGGAATGATGCCAGCAAGACGGAGACCCCTCCGAAGAGGGGCGAGGAGGGGGAGGAGGGGGAGGAGGAGGAGGAGGAGGAGGAGGAGGAGGAGGAGGAGGAGGAGGAGGAGGAGGAGGAGGAGGAGAGAGGAGGAGAAGAGGGAGGAGGAAAGAAAGGAGGAGGAAGAGGAAGAGGAAGAGGAAGAGGAAAAGGAGGAGGAGGAGGAGGAGGAGGAGGAGGAGGAGAGGGAGGAGGAAAGAGAGGAGGAGGAAGAGGAAGAGGAAGAGGAAGAGGAGGAGGAGGAGGAGGAGGAGGAGGAGGAGGCCCCCTCTACCCGGACCCCTCCGAGGAGGGCCCTGCTGCTCTCGGACGGCCGAGAGCAATCCCAGAGAGGCAGGATGCGCCGCGGAGGCGCTCCCAGGCGATCCGCGGCGCCCCTCCGCGGGGAAACGTCGTCGTCGTCGTCGTCGTCGTCGTCGTCGTCGTCGTCGTCGTCGTCGTCGTCGTCGTCGTCGTCGTCGTCGTCGTCGTCGTCGTCGTCGTCGTCGTCGTCGTCGTCGTCGTCGTCGTCGTCGTCGTCGTCGTCGTCGTCGTCGTCGTCGTCGTCGTCGTCGTCGTCGTAAGCTCCTCGCCCCGCAGGTGGCGCTGCAGCGCCCGCCGGTGCTCGTGCTCCTCCAGCTTGGAGGGCAGCAGGTGCCACCTGCTGCTGACTACCTACCAGACCACCCGAACCCAACACGGAGACCCGAAATTCGCCCGAATTGCGGTTTGGGGGGGGGACGGACTTCATATGTTTTTTTCGATATTCCCCGACCCCCACCCCCCAGGTGGAAATGGAGGGCGAATCGGGGCCTTCTGGTTGGGTTGGGGGTGGCTTGGTGGGCGGTGAGCTGCGGCCGGGGGCTTTCGCAGAGCGTGCCTCGCAGCGGCGGCCCCGGCGACACGCGGTGCCCTCCGCGCGGGCAGCGCGGCGCTGCCCTCCGCCGGGCGTGAGGCGCGGAGGGAGGCTCGGGGGGCACCAGCGCCTCGGGACCGCGAGGGGGGCAGCGTGCCGCTCCCGCGCGAAGCGCGATGGGCCAGAACCGGCGGAGCGACACGCCATAAGCAAGAAGCTGGAGGCGCCGCCAAGGGTGCCCAGAGCGCCGGGCCAAGAAAGCCACGCGGACCGTCAAAAGTTTGTGTTTAGGCCGTTTTCTGATTCCAAAATACACACACACACACACATCATCGAGAGGACGCCCGCGAGAGAGCACGAGCAGTTTCAGCACCAGCGTCGAGAGGTGCCGCCTGAAGTCCACGGGCACGTCCGAGTCGTTGCGGATGGACACCGTGTCCTGCGCCTCCAGCCCGACGTACCTGAGGCTCGACTCTTATCTCTTCCTCCTCCAATTCTTCTCCTCCTCCTCCTCCTCCTCCTCCTCCTCCTCCTCCTCCCTCCCTCCTCCTCCTCCTCCTGAGACAAGTCCATCGCCCCAGCAGCGTTGCACAGCCTGCACTCGCGTCGGACGAACATGGGACATAGCTCTGGGCAGGTCAGCGAACCGACTCGCGTGGCTGACTTTGCCGGCGCCTCCTGGCGCCTCCCATCGCCAGTGCAGCGAGGGAAGCGCCTGGCGGCGGGGCCGAAACCGGCTGCCTGCAGCAGAGCTCGCACCCCCACCGCGTTCCCTATCCCCCCGCCCTTCTGACCGACCCGATGCATGTACTTCTCCCGGCAGTTCTCGGAGGGCGACCACAATGGTCACCACGACGCCGAGAGAGAAGGAAACGGGGAGGGGGGGGCGGGAAGACGTGCGATCCGGCGGCCATGCGGCGGCAGACGCTCGACCCGCAGAACCAAGGCTGAGGTACAGGTCCTGCACCGTCGGGGGTGAGTGGGGAAGCCCACCGGCCATCTGGGCGTAGGTGGTCTAGGGAGGCTCATCGTCCAACCCCCTTCTTCCCCTTCGGGGAAGGGTGTATCACTGTTCCCTATTCATAACCACCCCCTTCCCCCGGCGACGGGCAGCCAACCAGGAACCATGAAGACCACATGAGGGCCACCCCCCCACCATCCCTGTCAAAAAACATGTCGCTGGTCCAATGGGCCAGAGGCGTGCTAAGATCTCTGGCTACTGGTGAACATTATTTCTAGTTCGCGCGCGCGGGACGGCCCCTGGGGGTCCCTGGGCGAAAAGTACCCTGGCCGGTCCTACTCAGAGATGGGTTGTCCTTCTGGGCGCGGCCTTCAGGCGCCCCCCGCTCCTAGAGAGCCCCAAGAGTCCCCAAGACGTTCCAAGAGGGCTCCGAGTCGCCGACCGATCGGTCCAAGACGCCCCAGATAGCCTCCAGACGGCCGCAGACGCTTCCAAGACGCCCAAAGAAGCCTCGAAGAAGGGGCTCCAGGAGGCAAATACCATCGATTTCCCTTCGGTGTTTGAAGAATTTTGGCGTTCTCATCTGTTCGGCTTCCCGACGCTCCAAGACGGTCCAGCAGGCCACAAATATCGCCTCAAGACGGCCCAAGAGGCCTCCAAAAGAGCCCCCAGAGGGCTCAAGAGGGCCCCAAGACGGCCCAAGAGGCCGCCGAGACGACCCAAGATATCCTCAGGTCGGCCCCAAGAGTGGGCCAGACGGGGAACCCGAACGGACATTTCGAGCCCTCGGCCCCAAGAGGCTCCCGAGACACCCAAAGAGGCCTCGAAGAAGCGTCTCAAGAGGGCTCCAGGAGGCAAAAGCCATCGATTTCCCTTCGGTGTTTGAAAGATCTTGCCGTTCTCAGCTGTTCGGCTTCCCGGCGCTCGAGGACGGCCCAAGAGGCCCCACAGATCACCCCAAGACGGCCCAAGAGGCCTCCAAGAGAGCCCCAAGAGGGCCCAAGACGGCCCAAGAGGCCTCTAAGACGGCCCAAGATATCCCCAGGACGGCCCCAAGAGGGGGCCAGACGGGGAACCCGAACGGACATTTCGAGCCCTCGGTCCCAAGAGGCTCCCGAGACACCCAAAGAGGCCTCGAAGAAGCGTCTCACGAGGGCTCCAGGAGGCAAATACCATCGATTTCCCTTCGGTGTTTGAAGAATTTTGGCGTTCTCATCTGTTCGGCTTCCCGACGCTCCAAGACGGCCCAAGAGGCCCCACAGATCGCCCCAAGACGGCCCAAGAGGCCTCCAAGAGAGCCACAAGAGGGCCCAAGAGGGCCCCAAGACGGCCCAAGAGGCCTCCAAGACGGCCCAAGGTATCCCCAGGACGGCCCCAAGAGGGGGCCAGATGGGGAACCCGAACGGACATTTCGAGCCCTCCCAAGAGCCTCACAAGACGCCCATAGAGGCCTCGAAGAAGCGTCTCAAGAGGGCTCCAGGAGGCAAAAACCATTGGTTTCCCTTCGGTGTTTGAAAGATTTTGCCGTTCTCAGCTGTTCGGCTTCCCGGCACTCAAGGACGGCCCAAGAGGCCCCACAGATCGCCTCAAGACGGCCCAAGAGGCCCCCAAGAGAGCCCCAAGAGGGCCCAAGAGGGCCCCAAGACGGCCCAAGAGGCCTCCAAGACGGCCCAAGATATCCCCAGGACGGCCCCAAGAGGGGGCTAGACGTGGAACCCGAACGGACATGTCGAGCCCTCGGCCCCAAGAGGCGCCCAGGAGGCCCCAAGAAGCCCCCCGAGCCCCCCAAGAGGCTCCAAGAGGTTGCTTTGAGCCCCCAAGAGGCCCCTAAGAGGCCCCCAAGAGGCCACGAACGCGCAGGCAAACGCCTGCGATGGCACAATACGGGCCGGCGGAATGAGCGAAGCGATTGAATACAAAGTACAATTTGGGGTAAAGTCTGGAGTCATGTCCGTGTGGCCCGCAAGCACTTTATATTGTTGTTGTTGTTGTTGTTGTTGTTGTTGTTGTTGTTGTTGTTGTTGTTGTTGTTGTTGTTGTTGTTGACAGGGGCGGCGGGGGTGTCAGCATATTGCCTGCTGCGCGCAGGGCTACCATCCCTGACACAAAAAAAAACATACAAAATATACCTCGCGGCTAAGTCTGGATCATGCGCGGTCACCCGGCGATCACTGTCATGTGATTTTTGACCGGGTCGGCGGGGGTGGTGGCGTATGGCCTGCTGTGCGCAGGCCCACCAGACACAATGATGGCATTGGTTTTCGACAAGGATGGTGTGGGCCGACATGTTTCCCGATGTGTGCTGTCACGTGCGCAGACGCACCTGACGCACTCTGCACGTGCCCCGAACGTGGCGCACCTGGCGCGGTTGGAGTATGCGGCACATCTGGCGCACGCGGAGCACGTGGCGCATCTGGCGCACCAGGCGTGCCTGGTGCGCTCGGGCCCCAGGGGTGCCTGGCGCGAGTGGCGCGCCTGGCACACGTGGCGCACCTCGCCCCAGCGTCACGCACATGGGGCCGGTTTTGATTCCCAGTAGCTGTCCATCCACAGACGATCGCTGAACATGCTCAGGCTCGGATATTACTTATGTGCTGGGAGGGCGGGTGGGAGTGAGCTAGACGGCCTGCTATCTAGGAGGGTGCCTTGACCCCTCCCCCTACCCCCTCCCCTGGACATGGACGTGGCGCCCCGCGAGGTGTCAGAGGGTACGTGCTTGCCCAAGACGGCTCCAAGAGGGCCTCAGAAAGCCCAAGATGACATCCAAGATGGCTCAAGATAGCCTAAGATGCCTCAAGATGGCTCCCAAAATGCTCCAAGAAGCTCCAAGAACGCTCCAAGACGGCTCCAAGATGCCTCCGAGACTTCCGAGGGGCCCCCAAAAGGCCAAAACCCTTCAAAAGCCTAAACACAATCAATGATGGTTGCTTTCTCACCTTTTTGCTTTCGATGGCCTTTTGAGGCCTCCCAAGATAGCCCCAAGACGGCCCCGAGAGCGACCAAGAGCGCTCCAGGAGCGCTCCAAGAGGGGTCCAAAAGGCGATGTTAAACACTCTAGAGGGACAGGGCGAATTGAGTACCCCCCCTTTTTCTGAGCGATCTCCCCCAAAAGAGGCCCAAGAGAGCCCCAAGACAGCCCCAAGAGCGCCCAAGAGTGTCCCAAGAGCGCTCCAAGAAGAGGGACCCGTCAAGAATTGATGACATGCGCGATGCAAGAACTCCCAAGACACGATTTCGGTGGCTCAAGAGAGGCAGCACTGACTAAGAAAGCCCCCTTGATGGATGTCCTCCAGGTTGGCCCCAAGAGGGCCTCCCAGGGCCCCCAAGAGGGCCCAAAGAAACCCTCAGGAGGGCTCCAAGATGGCCACAGGAGGGCTCCAGATAGCCCACGATGGCCTCGAAGTTTGATCGATGCCCTTCAAGATAGCTCCAAGAGGCCCCTGAACAATGGCCCTCAGACGCCTCGTGCTCGCCATGTTTCGTTTAACGGTTGTCGTTTGCCTGGACATTGTTTCTGCATGGGCTGGTGGGGATGCGCCAAGCGTGAACAGTTGATGTCATGCGCGATGCAAGAACTCGAGCACAGGTGAACGGGTGACCATACAGTAGCGCAAAAAGTGCCCTGACTGAATCGTCCCGTCCATCTTTTCTGCGCACTGCGCTTACACCTCTGAAGCTAAGACGCCACGTTTCCCATATGAACTCCGTGGGGCTGGTCGACATCGCCTCACCCCGCCACCGCCTTGGAAACACAAACTAAGGAGTCATGTATGCTTCATATTTGGGCGTTTGCACGTCAAAACGTTTGCAACGGTCCCATCCACCCGCCATCAAATTGAAAAAGCACATGCTGCATGCGTGCCGCTCGAGATATTGCCGAGAATGTCGTGATACGCTCCAAATCCAACGCAACCAGCTCTCGGATGGCTTACAATGATCATGCTACGTCATCGTGGCGTTGGAAGTCGTGTGTCGTACGTATGCGTATGTGAATCCGAATCCGCATATGACATGAAAGTGTCGGCATACACATGTCACGCCGAGCCCGCGCACACACACACACACACACACACACACACACACACACACACACACACGCACAGCAGAACACGCAGCATACACTCGCGCGAACGCGCACAAAACGGAGCGCGCCACCAGTCATAGAATGTGCTGGTGACCGCAGAAGGCCGTGCGGGCGGGCCCGCTAAACGACAGACCTGCGGTGCGCTCGGCGTGCCGCGACGCCCTGCAGGCGGGTAAGAGTCTCCCTCTGCCCTTGTGTTAAGTCGGGCCTGTCCCCCTACAGGGGGATTTCGACGAAAAACAAAAAATACCCCCAAAATAATCAAAGAATAATCCAAAAATGATCTGGGGACTATTTTTTGCATCATTTTTTTCCCTACCTAGGCTCTGCCTAGAAGGGTTCTTACTCTCTTAGCTTAAAGGGGCCGGGCAGTGGAACACGCCCCGGGCGGTTCCCCCAGTCCCCTGGGAGCGGTT